GCTGATAAGTACTAGTATATACAGGTTTACTTGCTTTTCAGCTATCTATAACGTGAAATTATGTATTCAAGATTAATGAATTACTAGAAACACATAATTAACACTAATACAATATCCTTAAACTTTATTATTTTAGTGGATATTAATTATATATTCATAGAATTTGTATTCTATCCCGTAATTAACGAATATAATCATTAGATTATATTAGATCCTTCCAAATGCCTATCGGTCTGATCCACTGCGACCTTTTCAGATCTATTGTGGCTCTCTTCTGATCCCTAGGTTACATTCTCCAGTCTGTTCTTTTCAAATAGTCTAGCAGCTTGTAGACTGAACCCCTCATAGCTCTATGCCAATTGCTTATAATTGTCTTTTACAACGAATCGTACATCTTCCAGGCTGTGGCACCCACTGTATTCTGTCGTTTTTCGGTTGGACCAAGAAATTCCAAGAAAACTTAATAGGGATAAGCATGCAGATGCAAAATCAGTGGGAGGAAGCAGCGTTCAATATAGAACGTAATGGAGAAGCATTGTAAACTCAATTAACAACGTCAACCAAAAAGTAAAGAGACAAAAAAGGAATGAGTTTTTTGAATGTAAGGAGTGCGGAAGGGAGATGACATCAAACACAAAAAAGCTCATGAAAGAAAAATATTCTGATGCGTGTGAAATACTCTTCAGCGAGTAATGGCAGTAAGTAAGTAAGTTCTGTCGTTTCTTCTTCAGACTGACAGACTGCATGTCATATAACAATGTCCAGTTAGTAGACACACTACAGCTTTAACTATCTTTCTGTCTTTGCTTATTTTGGTCTACCGTGAATTTTGGCTACATAACCATTCATTGTAAATTCTGTTATATCCTTATTAACAATGACACCTGGTATTAAAGGACACAGAGACACGTGAAATTTAAAATTAAAGACAATACCAATCCAAGACGATAAGTTATCTCATAATTCTTGATTATCTACCACAAAAACATTATAATCTAACGGTATAATCTTACGTGTCAAAACAAAGAATTGCACAACCAATCAGCACAAAAATCAAGCACAATATTTAACATTATTGAGAACAACAATGCTAGATATATTATTATGGTTGTGCTGAACAGATTAAGCAAGAAAATTAAGTCCTCTTACTCTGGGTGCCCGCTCACCAAGGGATAGAAGACAATGAAAAGGCAAACGATCTAGCTAGAAAAGGAGCGAACACTCCACTGACTGGACCAGAACCGGTCTGTATTCCAAGTGGAAACCAGCTTAAAGTGGAACTCAAAAACCTGGAAGACTCCATCCGTAACCTGGAATGGGAATCCTCCAATGGTCTAAGATAGTTGAAAACATTTCTCAAAACTTACGGCCGAGAAAAATTAAAGATCTTCCTTGATGTTAAATGTTGATTTACAAAATGTTGATGTTTTGTAAAAACAATATTCGGATTGTCACGGGGTTTCTAACAGGACACTGTCTCCTTAGTAGATTGAAACTGAGAAACAAAAGGTGAATGCAGATTCTTTAGGAAAAATGGGGAAACACCGCATGAGTGCGCCGAGATGACAACTATTTCTGCCATAAACTTTATTACGGCTGATATTGGAGATGGAGAGCTGGCCTCTGTGGAGCCGCCTCAAATACCGGCTATTGTCAAAGCCCTGAGACTGTGTGATGAGTTATAACTCGTTATATCTCAAGAAAGGGGAACACAATAGATCTGTTAGGTCGCGGTGATTAACCCCCCTCCTAAAAAACCTAGGCTTTAGTTTAAAAAATGCTGTATCATGTATATTGGTAATTTGCTATTCACTGGGATTAATATTATGTACTATAATTAATAAACATGTGAATTTAAAATGAGGATAATTTTATTTGAATAAAATTTGTTATCGCCATACCTGATTAAAAAATATACAACTAAACAACTTTATTCTGCAACATCTTTCGATTTTTGAAAAATATCTGTTTACTTATTCAATTTGTTTAAAAAAAAATCTGGTTTAAATCATATTATATGCGTTATAGGTATTATCATTTAGTCTAAACTGAATTATAATAGTTAATCTGTTAACGGATACGCGTTAAGTATATATTCAACAATAAAATTTTGCATAACATTATTGTTATTACCCTCATTTATATACACATTTACAAACATATGAACTGAACGAATGCAATGTTCTGTAAACTGGAGTTTATTAGTGCGAATCAAGAATGCAGTTATAGAAAGAAAATAAAATAAGAGCAATAGAGTCAAGGTAAACTTCTTAATCAGACGAATTATCTGAAAAATTTGTTATACTTTTCGTATCAGATTACCAGTCCCTTGAGAAAATCACTGCTATTTGCTGACGAATCTCTTATTACTTACTTTCATTTCAAACCAAAATATTTACAAATTGTTTATTTTGTCTTTTTTTACTATTTATCTTTGAACTTATATGACTCATTATTTCCATATTAGTTGGCGATAAATTTGATACCCGTTGCTTCCTCAAGAGCACAATTTTTGTGCATGCTGTTGAATGAGTCGAGGATTACTCATGGGAAGTGTAGAAATAGAACCAGTGAATCGAATTTTTGAATTACTGCTAAGGAAGTCGATTTAATTGTAAAGTGTATTTGTGTGTAGCATAATTATTATTGATTTATTTATACACCCTCTAAATTATTCGGAGAATAGCCCTAAGCAGGTCAAGGTCGCGTTTCGCCGCCTAACTTTGACGCGTTTCCGATTATCTCCGGTTGTCTTGACCTATTTCGGTTTGTCTCGACCTACTTATAGACAACCCAAGAAGGGCAGGGGTATTTTTTTCGGCGTTTCTTGTTGTCTCGTTCAATTTCGTTTCGTTTCGACCTGTCTCCAGGATGTGTCGGTATCCATACCCAAGGCAAAGGACTTTTTTTCATAAATCTCAGTCAAGTAAGTAAACCTAGGCGTTTCTAAAATATCTGTAGTTACGATGATATTTCATTAATTACAGTTCGTTTTATGTTGATATACCGGGTGCGCCTCAAAAGTGACTCACCGCTATAATTTTTTATTTCTTCAGATAAAAAAACGAGATTTCGTATGTTGGTATATGACATAAATTGGGATTGATTGACGTGTTCAATAGTTTTTGGTAACTTCCTGTTTCACCGGAAATTACTACAACTTTTGATTTTTAAATGGCACCCCCAGTATATTTTGACTTTATTCGATAGAAAATTATATTCTGAATAGAATGACATATCATGTCAACTTTTGACATTCTTGCTTAATAAAAAATTGTATTTTAAATTTCAATCTAGAGTGCCATGGCTATGTTAAAAACACAAATTCCTAGTCAAGGAGCCTTGGAAAAATAGATTTGATCGTCTAATGTTTTTAGTCTCTTGTCCCGGCCGGTTAAAAAATGCCCAAATCGTATTTTTAATCATATCTCAATTTTTTCAAATGGAACGAGGGTGGCTCATTAGCATATTTGGAAAAAGAATTTTTTTACGAATAATTTGATACCACACACTTGGTATTTCGAGTCAAATTTTCGTTACGAACCGCAAGTTATAATTTCAATTAAACCATATGCGAAAATGTCAAAAGTTGACATATGACATGTCATTCTATTCAGAGTGTTATTTTCTATCGAATAAAGTAAAAAAATACTGAGGATCCCATTTAAAAATCAAAAAGTTGTAGTCAGTTCCGGTGAAACAGGAAGTGAACGAAAACAATTGAATACGTCGATCAGTCCTAATTTATGTCATATACTAACACGCCAAATCTCGTTTTTTAACTGAAAAAATAAAAAAGTTATATGGGTGAGCCAATTTTTGAGACGCACCTGGTATTAGAAATTTTTGGAAAAATTTTTTAGAATTTTTTTTAGTTTTTAGTTAAAAAACACAATTTCTTGATAATATGGCAACATAGGTATTAGATTAAATTTACAAGAAAGAAAATCCAGAAAAGATCGAGTGAAATAAATCTGTGATCTCAAAATTTTAGCAAAAAATAATTTTTTTGGAAATTTTCAAAGTAAAATAACTCCGTTGTTTTGAACTTATTGGAAAAACGATAAAGAGGAAATAGGTTTCTTTTATCGCGATCTACCAGCCCTTGTACTTATTTCTGAGACACCCTGTATATTCCATAAGATTAATATTTGAACAAGCTTTTATAATATGTATAGGTAGTAAATATTTAAAAACAAAAATTTTCACTTAATCTGCAGTGATAAAATTACAAAATGTTTATTATTTATTTTTCTGAAGCCACCAGATTATCTTGATTGCTTTACGAAGTAATATGAAGAATATAAACACGTTATAAAAATTTTATCGAAACTGATCGAAACGTTTCTCGAAATAGACCGAGACAGGCCATGGTTTATTTTTTATTTTAATAACCCATCACGGCGTGTCTTGGACTATTTCGATCTATTTCGGAATTTATGGCCGAGATTTCTCGCATCATAAGGAAAGCACTGAGTTTACTTTTGAAAGTATTTCGAGAAATGCTTCGTAAAATGTTTCACGAAATATTCGTGAACATTTGGGGCATAGTATAGAGGGTGTTTTAAAGTTCAAAAGTCAAAATACTTCCAAACCTCCAAATAAACTGACAATAGAAAATATTGAAACCTGAAATTTTATTAACTAGCACGGTTTTGGCATTTCCTTCCTTTCATTGGTGTTATAGTAAATACAATGCTGAGCAGCAAAATTATCTCTGAGCTTACCTAAGGAAATCTAAATTCCTAGTACCTATATCTCAAATTTGTCACAAAAGTTTCATCTAAAATCTGATTTTCTATTTCGCAGAACATTTAGAAGCTATATGACAATGACAGTTGTTAGCTCTCATTTTAATAATTCAAAAGTCCAAGGTTAAAATTATGTAGAAATGTGTAAAGTATAAACTATAGGAAATAGAGTGTTTATTGTGTGAATTAATCTTTAATAGTGTTTTTGGTCAGTACGTATTATGGTAGATCTATACTTGAATTACTTACTTGTGGAGCTCTGTTTGTAAAGTCTTTTTCAGATAACAGCAACAAGTTTGAACCAGAAATCTCCCAATTTTCTGCTGTGGGTTCTGGACAATTGAACTGCCTTGAAGTCCACCGAATCCAAGATAAGACATCTGACGGACTCCAAACTGCAGGATCTGAAATAAAGAGCTCTCTAAATAAATCACAATATATTTTTGTAGTTTAATCTGCTTATATGTCAAAGTCAATAAAACTTGTTAAAAATTAACATTAATTATGGAAAGATTACATAAGGATAGAAAACGTTTCCAAACATACAAATTTACTTCCAATTAAAAAAATATTTTTAACGACACCATTTAAAAATCATTTTAGATTTTGGACCATAGATCACCATGGATTGTCACTCCCCAACCGTCTTTGACGCCATTTTTTTTCTTCGATCGTATAGTATATCTCAGTATTTTTTTTTTATTTCGTTATAATAAAATTTGACCACTCCCATTCAACAACTGTTATTATTTTTTCCCATTTTGTTTTCTATTTTGATCATAGAATGTTATTTTTAGATCGACCCCACCTACAGCATGTATAAGCAACTGCCTCAAGCAATAGAATTGTTTCCAAATTATTTTTTTCAATAGATTGATTTCATAAAGACAAAAATTGTAAACAACGGTGTTACTGATGCGTATAATATGTCCTAATGTGTGAAAATTTGCTTTTTGAAGACTAACCTCTTTTGCAAATTAACAGAAACTGTCTTAATAATAACAGAATTATTATTGCGCGAATGTAGGTAAAACATTATTGGTACATTATATATTTACTGGCAATATGGTGTCCCAGTTAGAAAAACATACAGATTTATCATTCAAATCACTGCTATGATAGCAACTTTACTTCAAATACATAACATTTATAAATATGAATGTAGTGAATAATTAACCATTAATACAACGTTCTGTTGTAATATTAAATTCTGACTTAATTGCAATTTTCATTCTTTATTTGTTGGGTTGTGTGTTCCTTTATTCTCTTTTCTATTTTCCCCTTTTTACATTATAATAATGCAGCCAATTTAAAATCTCATAAAAGCCTTGATAAAAACCAATCTTATTATTAATCGTGATGACATTGATTTTTTCTTGTGCTTAAAATGAAGTACTCAATTAGCTTTAGTAGTTTGATACAGATTATAATTATTTTTAAATAATGATAAGCTTTTGAACAAGTTCAGCATACCACAACGACTCAAGGAGCGATGTACGTATGCTACCTTTTCAGATCTATTGTGGTCCTCTTCTGATCCCTAGGGTATATTCTTCTCTTAAGAAAAGTGTAAAAACCTGGAGACTAAACCCCCCATATAGCTGTTTGTTAATAGAATATCATCGTCTACTACAAAAAAAAAAACATTTTTTTTTCATCAAAAAGAAATTTGTTGGCCATCCATTATTTTATAACAATTCTTGTAACTGCTTTTCCACTTTTTTTGTGCCACAGAAGGGTTCTAGCCCAATACAGCCATTCATTCATGGTCAGCCGCTGAGCAAAATTCTCAGCGGTAAATATTTATGCTGGGCAAAGTGAGTGATGTTTATATAATTATATAAAATATATAAAATAATATTTAACAGCTGTGTAAGTTGATGTTTCTTTTCACCGTTTAGGGAATACCGCGAAATGTGGTAAAGCAAAGTCAACGCAAATATTGCTGGAATTTAGCTGCTGTTTCCTCTGAACGCGCCCATTGTTAGTGTGAGCGCGCACCAACGTGACGTAGCATCTGACGTGGCACGTAATCTGGCAAGTAACATGCATCTAGCAAAAGTTACGTCGAATTGAACAAACGACAATAAGTGTGTCAGCGCACACTGATGTAGCGCTGTCAGAAACGTGTCATTTGTCATTTCGCAGAACTTGATCTACTTTTCGGCACGTGCTATTAACACGTTATTAGAATTTAACAAAAATGAAGGACGATCTGGACTTCAATATACATTTTGTATCACTGATTGAGATTCCCTTAAACCTTAATTTATAACCACACTCGTGTCGATTATTCCAACAGGAATAAACAAGACTTGGCATGGGAACAACTTTTCTAACTAGCACACCAAAGGTTTCTTTTTTCATTCTATAAAATGCTTGCAATCTTTCAGGATAGATATTCAATTCCTTAAAAACACTAAATCCACTGTTCCTTTGTCTCTTTTTGTAAAAGGGGTGTATCCAATAGCGACGCTTTGGATAATTTTTGTTCATATTAATTAGGTTTATAACTGCTAACAAATCTTCATCCTCTGAGGACGACATGTTTACGTCACTGCCACGTCACTTATATGTGCGCTTCCTTAAAAATCATGCAACGCTATTGCCATATCATTGCCATGTATGTGCAACGTCATATGCTACGTCACTTTGGTGGGGTGGGCGCTCTCCTTTAAATATAACTTATAATTTCTTAAAATACGAAAAGTATCAAGACAGATGAGGGAACATAGAGCATATAATGGCAAGGAACAATTATTGAATTCATATTTACTTAAAAATGGATGAAGAGACCGGATTACATTGGGATAAGAAAAACAATGTATCTCAATAACTGGAAATTATAGTATATTTAACAAAACTTTGGTTGCACGTTATCAATGACACCATGCGTCGTCTTATGGAGTTTGCTGGTGGTCGTATAGGAGAGAATGTGGAATATTGAATAGGCGAAAAATGAATATAGTATGATAGTGAAGAAGAATAAAAAAGCAAGATACTTTTTATTAAGTTTAGTAGAAGAATTTTAGACAGAAAGTTTAAAAAACAATACACCCTACTTATAATATAATATTTCTATGAATTTACTTTCACCAATCAATTTTATTATGGATATACGGCTGACTATTGTTTGTCATTTGTTAACAAATATCAATCTATAACAGTAATAAATTGCGTAACAAACTGATTTATTTACTACGAATCGGTCCTTGAACATGGTTAAAAATAATACCCCGATTTCAAACTGGACTAATAATAATACTAGGACAATGTCCTTGAATATGTGCCACACCTTATAAGTTACTTTTTTTAAACTCTTTGCCCCTTCTTGTTGGTAATGCGCGCACAATAGCTAGCCAACAAGATAATCCACTTACAGAGCTTGTTTACTTCCAGTTGATTTATTGTAAATAATCGAAGGCGTACTGTTTTCGTAGTTATTTGTTTTTTTATTTTCTCAGCTTACTAGACCAGTCTTATTTATTTGTTTCGAACAACCTACATTCCTTTTGTTACAACAAGCGGGAAAATTAAAACAGCTTTTATAAAACTTTACAGTTACTCTCAGTTGCATCACATTGTTCTATCATAGTAGAATATTATAGTTTTATACTTTGAAGTGCCTAAAAAGACACTTTTGGGCTATTAAATTAAGAATCTAATGCTGAAAATCAAATGATCTTATTGTATTATTAGAAATAAAAAACCGTCTATTTCAATTTATTGCCTTTAAGCACGCTAATTTCATTTTTGTGGTTTGTGAAATATGGCTGCGAAATCTGGACGCTTAAAGTGACAGTAACACCACAGATTAGGTATCCTATAAGATAATAATCTTGTCCCTAATTCATGGTACGAAAATTGTGTTTTATGACGATGAGCAAACGAGTAAATTTTCTTGTGCGCAAAAATAAACTCCCGTTTAAACAGCGTAATAACTGGGCCGGTCACAAGGCCGGACAGGCGCTGTGCACAATTTTAGAGGCCATAAGTGGGCGTGCTTGTGCGCAAACTAGTAACCGACTCCAAAAATTGGAACCACGAAAAACAATGCTTTTGACGAGAAGTTTATAATCTGTATAATCTGTGGTAACACCTTAAGAGTCATTACGCTGTACTTTCGGATCGCTCTCAGGGGTCGTGTAAAGCGGGTGTGTGGCCGAAGGAAATATAATTGATTATAAGATGTATGATCGAAAAAAAAACCGCAAGTTGGCTGGGAAATGACGATCGATGACATTTCTCATATAAATTTACATATAAAATGACAGCGATCTTCTCGTCATAGCCATCGTTGACGTCGTTTTTTCTCGATCATACGGTATATTATATTTCAGAAATATGCCTAACGCTTAGCCCGATCCTGTCGCGTTAGGTCACACATGGGTCACACCCAAAATTCCAAACACACGTGCTGTGATTAAGGTTTGCAGAGCTTCAGCATTTGCCATAAAATAGCGAGCAATTTGTTACAAAACCATATTAATTATATATCACTGTAATCACAAAACATCAATCTATTTCCGTATTGTCACAGAATTTTACATTGTCTTTATTTTCGAGAAGATTTAGTCCAAACATAAGGAATATTTTGTCGATGATTGGCCATCCAAATCTTAAAAATAAAGAAGTTGTCTAAAAATGTACTACCATACGGATGTAGTATAATCTTTTATCTTTAATTTCCTTCTTCATTTATGTACAAATACCTAGCCAGTTTTACATAAAACGTTAAATGCCGAACGCTTATTTTGCTACTTAAGACGATTGCAAACTTTTGAAATGTGGATCTATAAGAGACTATAGGAGGGGCGGCTGACACTTGCTTGGGATCATCCTCCACAAGTGGCACACAAGCTACCACCTTCTCCAGCAAGGGTCGGGAGCCTACCTCTAGATCCAATAAGCGACATAAGCTACCGTTTCGTCTACCCGGCCTGGACAAGTGAAAATGGCGGTGCTGCCAAAGGATTTCCCAGAGGTTGCTCTGACCACCGACCAGCAAACGTCTTAGGGGAGCAGAGGCACGGAGATACCTCCGACTGCTCCACGAAGGACTTGCTCCAAAAGAAACAAAAGCGAAAACACTCCTCCGAAATGGGGAGAGTAAAGAAACCAAGAAACAACCTGACACATCTCCATCAAAGGGCAAGAGAGGGGGCTACCTCTCCTCCGACAGGGAGAGAAAAAAGCCAGGATGGAAAGCCGTCCAACACCGGGAGGCAAGCAGGGACGTATCACCAGCTTTGCCGCTATTGCTGAACAAGTGAAAATGGCGGTGCTGCCAAAGGATTTCCCAGAGGTTGCTCTGACCACCGACCAGCAAACGTCTCTAGAAGAGGCTATACTGGACGAAGTAGTGGCGATTGAATCGCAACACAACAATCTACAAAATGTGGGT